GGAGTTTTGTCTACAAACATGCTGACAACAGGTTCTTCAGCAGGTGTCAAGAGTAGATAAGAGGAGAGGGGGTTATCACCGGTACAGATGGTGGGATAACTGCTGGGGAAGTCAGGAATGCAAACACAACAAGTGCAAGACCACTGGAGCCTGGCTGGACAGGCCGAGAATTCTTAGGCCTGTGGCCAAGATAAGGGGAGTAGAGGGACCTGCTCAGCTGACCACTGACTGGTCTGCTTCCATTGACTGGTACTACCAAGAATGTCATTCACTATTCCAAGGGTACAGCCATGTGTAAGGAGGGGCTAGCTTTGAGTGACAAGGCCAACAGGTCTTAAGTCATATTTCCATAATTTCAATAATGTGGTACTTCTATCAGTTTTTGCATCTGTACAAGAATTGGCTTTGTAGGTGCAAGGGACTAAAATGACCTATAAAACTAGCAAACATCATCTAGAAAGTTTAAAAATCTTGGTAGTCATAGCACTAAGCAATCAAGAATACTATATCTTCTTCCTGTTCCATGCCTGCCAAATTTTTGCAAGTGGAGTTTTTTTAATCCAAACTTTAAGCTTCAAGAATACGACTGGAAACTTGTCTTTCTTTTCTCCATCACCTGTCCATTTCTCCCTGTCTGTCTGGTGTGCGGTCTCCCACGGCAGTTCTGGTGTCAGATACCATCAGTTCTCATCACTCTGCCTCATGATAGCCTTCATTAGTATGGTCAACACAAAGAAACTGATACTAAAACATGCCTCTTCTTTAGACTAGATGCTGGACATACCACTGTACCCTTCATGCACCTTCTTTCCACTGCAGATTCTACAATATTACACAGTGAATACCCAGAAAATGGTGCACAAAAGTTTAGGTGAGTTTTGGAAGGTACATGTCCAAAAATCCTTGACGAGAGGTACATCTCTAGTGACCAGCCAGTCATGACTATCTCTGTCTCATCTCTCGGTTGTCTGTTCATGTCTGGGTACCAGAGACAACCGTCATTACAGAATCAGTCTTCAAAATATGAAACACTTGCTAAGGAACTGCACACTTTTGACTTATGTCTGTCCAGCATATATTGGGTCTCGTTTTTTTCCTAATCCCACATGAGGGAGGGACATTATTATGAATTGCTTGCATTCAAAATGAAGCACCTAACTTGCAATTTCTTTAGATGAAACTTTGATATTTGACACTTCTAATTAAAAGAAAATTCAAGACAAAACTGCTTCAGTTCAAGTAGATTTTCTATATTGTTCCCTCTCTTTTAAAACAAAGTACCAGCTTGACAGCGCTCCAACCTTACTCTGTAGCAACTCCAGCACTGTTGAACCTGCAAACCCAACTGAACCCAACTGACGAATCACCATTGCTGAGTTGTGCTGTTACTCTTGTGCAAATCTGAAGCAAAGAACAACCCAGAAGAAGATGGCTTTAACTATACAATCATGGACAGGTCTGGAACAAATGCAGTTTGTTTCTGTCCCATTTTTCCTTGGCAGTATGGGAAGCAAGACTCCTAAGGTGTGGTCCTGTCTCAAACTGCTGTTATCAGTTCTTTAACAGAACACACACATAACTTGAAATCAAGAGGTACGAGGCCAGGAGAAAATGATGGCCACGTGTTAACCTTGTACAAATGTAGGTCAACAACCTAAGTTGAAAATAATGAATTTTTCATTACACAGTTCCTCATTCAAAAGTTACTACAGCAATCGTCTGGTTGAATTTTCTAGCAGAATTCCATTTGGTACTTAAAACCACTTTGTTGTGTTCAACCCACAGATACCATGTCTGTAATGAGTAATCAGCAGCATCTTTCTCCTCCTATTCCCCAAACTCCCGAAGATGCTATCAGGGCAGTCTGCCTCCTGAAACATTCTCAAGGAGGTGTCTTAATGAGGTAAACGAGCTGGGTGGATGGAGCTGGCCCCACTATGCTAAAACGTTACTGTACATTATTTTGATGGACCTAGTCTGGACTGTTTTATGTCAGAAAGTGATGCAAGTCTTCAGTCTTCACGAACCATTTTGGGAAACAAACATGTGACACTTTCAATTCCTGAAAAACACTCAAATGCAAAGTTTTGCCCTCTGTTCTGTGACATTAGTGATGCCTATCTTCATCCTAACTCTGGTCAAAAACTAGCAGTTTTGGTCAAAGTGATGTGGTTGCTATGACAAGAATACCTTGGAAATTTCAGAAATACCCGGTATCCAAAAAACTCACACGTGCCAATGACATGTGTTAAACTTCGCTCCCAACCATTTAATCCCCGCATATTGAAATTCCTCCAGTCCTCCCAGGTATTGTCTAAGTGTGAATATAATGGAAGCGGGCAGAAAGAACCAAGGTTACGTTCAACAGTTCACTGAGCTCCGAGGTTCTCCAGGAAGGACAGATATTACAGGAGTTCCTGGGCCTACAGGCTGGCTGCAGGGAGGGCTGTTCCTCCGCTGCTAACAGGTGTGAGCCGGGATCCTCCAGTCTGGACAACATACTCCTCACTGTAACAATCTCTTCTGGCAGTTTCTCCCCACAGGCAAGACCTCCAGCCTTACTCAGGACACTAAGGGTAGACCGTACCACCCCCTCCTCTCTTATAATCAACTGTTTCAACCTGACATGGGAGTTGAGTACTGTCTACTTCAAACACTCCATTCCTGCAAGATTTGTATCGTCAGATCACAGGAGATTCCTCGAAATGCCTTGAAGTTGTACCGAAGAATCCGCCCAAAATAAAACATCAGAGGGTACGGAGCAGGAATTCCAGCTGAATTCCCATCACATTGACTGGTGGTGTTGACCCGGGTACCTGGTTTGTGTCACCGTGGAGTGATCCACTCACCAGGGACTCACCTTGTTAGTTAAGATGAGATCATCCTCCCTGTAAATTGGTCTTGGAGCCATGAGTAATAGTTTCTCCCTCCACAACCACACAACCTAAACCCTAGCAAGGCATCATGAACAGATACACCATGTCAATAGAGCAGCATCTGCAAAATGGGTACAAAGCTACAGCATTGGCCAGAAATAAAATTAATCTTCATTCATAATATCTACAAAAATGTAGTTGTGCACTTATTTTTGAGTGTGTTAAACCTAGCTTTTTATCAACATTATTACACACCATTAGTTACATCACAGGACTAAAAATGTGTTCATTAATTATGCAAAATGTAGCCCTCGCATGATTCTTGTACGGAAGATGATTCATTCCATGCCATGCAAAAAAAAAAAAACAAGGTACAAAATGTCTAAAAAATTTCTAAATTACAAAGAGAAATTTGACAACAGCAGTAATAGCTACAAAGACCGGTATATGAAAAGTTACAACTGACAGCCTGTCACAAAACTGGAAAAATGAAAGTTTGTATAGGAGACAGGAAATGAGTCCTGACAAGAGAAACGGCACAGCTGACAGACAAAACAAGTGACAGGAGAACACTAACTGAAAATATTCGAAACAGTTAATGCCAAAATATGCTTCCCAAACATTGAATATCTTGATAAACATCAGTGGATATATGCTGAGAAGGCGCGTTCCCTAACGACTCAGGTTCTTTCTCCTATAACCAGTCTGGCACAAGTGAGAGATAGGCTCATTGCCAAGTAGCTTCCCCCTCTTGTCAGTGCCTGCAGGCACAGGCACACCTGTCCCCTCAGTCAATGCTACATGGCTACCTGGGGACCTGTCTTACCCTGCAGCTGCCACGTGGCGCGGACCCGGTAAATTTACCCTTCCACCTTCCGCCTGCTTCCTGGCACGTGCTCCTGATCCCTCGCTCGCGTGTCTGTCTCCTCCCCTCCCGCTCCCTCCTGACCACCACAGTCACTTGTAATTGACGTTCATCCCCGGATAGGAGCAGCCAGACAGGACCGGCACCTCAGAGACCGGCCAGTTTATGAAATCTCCTGCCCTTCAGCAGCTGGTGAGAGGAGAGGTTATGGGGATAGATGGTGTCCCTGCTGACAGGGAACAACTCAAGCTGCCTCCTTTCTTGGGTGACTCATTAGGATCTTTACCCAGGACAGGTGTGCACAGATAACTCACCTGGGAATACAGACTGCATGCCAACATTGTCATGCTGTGTTCTGGATGTCTCATATGCTGCTTATACATGATTGACAGGTTTATGCTACATGTGACAGTCTAGATAAACTAGACTCCACCCGGCTGGCCTGTGTCTCGGCACAAAGTCTGAACGTCTCACTTCCTCCTACAAAATAGCAATGAACTAGCCACATGGAGCATATTTGATATGATGAGTGTCGTCTGTGGTCTTATCAAGATTTTTTACCATTGAGTATTGGTTACATAACGTCTCTAATAGTTACATTTAAGATCAACACTAACTTACTGTTTTTACTACAAAGGACATGTGCACCACTTTATGTAGTTCTTAACATTTTCATCTGCTTCTATAACTCAACATCATATAAAGATAAAATTAATGTGGAACAGTGTATCACATCTATAAAAGGATATGTACCTCTCCTTGAAAGGACATTGGGCCAAAATATTCTGGTTACATTTTCTCAAACATCTTCAAGTTGTGGCCATCTTCACCCTTCACCAGGACCGTGAACTTAGTGCCCTTTAAAGCCTTAGAACACTATTAAGCTCTAATCTCAATCCTACCAAAGACCAGGGAAGAAAGGCCAGTTTAGTAATGGTCCTGGGGAACCCTGTCCTTGGTAGGTTCAAGTCAAGGCTCAGGATCATGACCTTAAAGATTAAAGCAGACTTAAACCCTTAAATCTTTCCGAAGTAATCCACACCACCAAGAGACCACCACTAAGGAACAATTACAAACTTCGCTGCAAAAACATTCTTTCGTTCTTACCATATTTGCGGATTTTAAGGTCGTTTTTACTGGACTTTTAAAAATTTATTTTTACCTTGGATATGAATTAGATTTTCTTACAAATGTGAAAACTTTTAAATACAGACTTGAAAGCAAAAGTCATCAGTTAGCTTGACAAACATATTTTCAAGTGTATGGGCCTTGGGTCAAGGTGAAAACCTGGCCAACCACCATCCAAACATGCCTACAGCAGTGGCACAGGGACATCCAAGGGTGCTAATGAACTGCTTAACAACACATGGGGGACCCTTACCCTTGTGGCTATAGGCCAGGATTAAAGGTAAGATCCATCGACTTAAAGTAGCTGTACGGCGCCCCTTCATCTTCCTCGACAGATGCTGCTATAACATCATCAACGCACATCTGTATACGTCGCTTGTCTCAGACTGGATTTGTGTTAACTGTGTGTTCTTAGGGCCATGCTTAGGCCCTGAAATGAGTTTATGTAAGAATTTTTCTTAACTTCAGTCGAGTGTGTGGAAGGCCAAAGTGATTGTTACTGACTGAGGCTCTTTCAATCAGGTCTTTCTCAGAAAACATTAAACGCTTTCCACTTTACTTAAGGTTGGCAACTGTACTGAATACCAAAAAACTTTTGCTTACAGCAGAGAAAGAAAATGTTACCAAGTGCCCTGAAAGAAGAGTTCATACAACTGCCCTTCCTTGTTTCTGAGTCATCTCCGTGGCTCTTTGTCACTCACATCTCCTAATCCCCTTCCTCCACCATTGTCTGTCATTATTACAGGTGAAGACAACCTGCAGCCAGTAACAAGGACCTCCAGCAGTTCAATGATATTTCTGACCTTTCAAAGAACAGCCACACTTGGACTCATATCTCTTCAGACAACAGCACAATGTCCCATGAGGCAGTGTGCAGAGAGTCACTGGTCTGAAACTTGACTTTTCCTTACAGGAAGAAATGGTCTTGACCTTTTACATAGCCATTAGAACTAGCAGACAGAGCATTACACATGTCATCACATCACCCCACTTGTGGAAAGATACTTCTGTGTAGGTCTGAGTATTACATCATTTATTTAGAAGGATGATCCTGACCTTTAAAAGTATAGACTCAACTGTCATCTAGTATTAACCAACTTCTTGGCTCATCTCTTTACTCTTTGAAATATTGGTGACAGATCAGTGGGTTTTACATAGACATACCACATTGCTTTCAATGTACAAAGTTTCTTCTTCAAGTAAAACTTTCAGCAACATATATGTGATTTGACAGGTTTTCATTCCACAGATCTACAATGTGGCAGATGTCATATTCCATTCAGAATAACTGAAAATACAGCATCATTTTGTATAGTGGAAAATATACAGGCTGCAACATCAAGTTCATAATTTTTCGCTGCCGCACATAGATGTACCATCAGCTGGTGACCAATCAAACCAGCTGTACTATGGCAGGGAGGGGACGAGGACTACTCTTGGCTTCCACGGCAAAAGTGGAAATGTGAAAAACGCTACCAGGGGACAATACTTCAGTTCTACTGCTGTTGCGGTGGAAATCTTGGCAAAGCCAGGGGATAAGAAATGTGCTTGAGGAGAATTTCCTCTGCAATTTGTTAAACTTAACTTGAAAGGCTTCCTGTATAGTCCCAGTGTCCGTACTGATTAAGTGAACAAATTCCTACATTAATATGGAGCGGAAAAAAAGGTTTAAATGGTGAAAGCTAGTAATATGCTGCATTAAATAAAATGTTTGGTGTTGGATCAAAAGTATAAATGTATTATCCTATATGTATTTGGAGCTTGACTATAAGTATAACAACAGCTTCTCCAGTGTTTCAACGAATGAGAAAAATCTCTTTTCACAGGGTGGCTTGCTGATGCACATGCTGAAAACAAAATATTATCATGTATGGTGCCTTTCCTTCATGCTTTTTTCTTACAGCATTCTTTCTTTCCTACATGTTGTCCTGTAATATCTAGTAATTTCTAAGACTTGCAGACATGGGACTTGCATGTTGAACTCTGAAATATCATTGAAGAATCTTCTGGCCATCATCCATGGTAGTCATTGCTGATTTTATCCTATGTAATATCTGATCAATCATCTTGTAAACTGCTGGCTTTCGTGTACATGTACTTTACACTTCATTCATCAGCTAGCCCTTGGCAGAGTCGGTATTTGTTTCATCTTTGTCGTTGCATCTTGGACATTTGGTTCGAAACTGTCACATGTATTTGAAATGTCATTTCTTACATCACCAAGTTATGTGCTAATGAAATACAAATTACGTCATGAGCTTAGGAGGGTACATTCTGTCAGGTCTGGTATCCTACCCCCCAACATTTGATACATCAGTGACGCAAACCTTCCCTGAGTGCCCTCCAAACATTGCATACTGAAAGTTATTCTTCTTCCTGAAGTTGTCAGAGATGCTCAATGAGTTTAGATGGATAATAGTAATGTATACATTTAACATGTAATGTTGTACGTAAACCTTATGAGTTGAACATTCTTTATAGCAATTTGTAGCAGGTGCACAAAATAATAACTTCTTTGAACTTTGGAAACAGCAACAATATTTCCTGTCTTCAAAATTCCACCATTCTGTTGCAGAAGTTATCAGTTGGATTTGACGTCATTCAGGGACTTACGGTTTGTAGGGTTGCCTGTGGTGTGGTGATCTCCTATCTCCAGCTCTCTGCTTTATCGGACACAGCTGCACACTCACAACACATGGTCTCTGCAGGGAAACATTAGAACAAAACTATCAACACAAAACCATACTTTCCATTACAACTTGGCAAGTACTGTCACTGGGGAGGTAGTGCTTAACCACTGGGGAGTTACAGTTCAACAAATGGGCCATTTTATTACAGAAAATGGATCCCAATACTGCTCACTGCCTGACATTGATCATTAGAGAAGTCAAGTGCATTTTACGCATTTGGGATTCCTGTATCATGTAACTTTTCTTTCTTTGGGAATGTATGGCAGTTTGAAGACATTTTACCTACATGTAAATGATGCTCATGACAAATAACAGCCACAAAAAAAACATTTTCAAAACTTTGTTGTATAATGGATATAAACCACATTCATCTTGCCCATGGCCATGGCACTTGAGCCAAGCTGACACTAACACGTACAGCACCTAAAAAAAGCCCATCTACAAGATCAGGTCAGTTGACGTCTTGCACAAGACGCAATGGCTAGACTCCGTCCTGACGCAATTCCGTCCATTTGGTATGGCCATTGATGGATGGTCAGTACCGAGCTTATCACCGTTCGCGTGACAAGGAAGGCCTGCCTTGCTATACCCTGTAGACTCCGGACATGTGTGTCAAATGTGTGTCCTGACTTCTTATGACATGGCTATATGAAGAACAGAAACTGAAACTACACAGGGTCATTCACACATACACATTTTTTCCTCTCCTAAGCGTAGACATACATGTGACATACTGGGTCTACTACACCGATAGAGTACAAAAAGGTTGTTCGCAAACTGACACCTGCTATGCTAATGTGCACACTAGAGGCTAGACACTCATTGATGCAGGTGCATGTAAGAGACAGGTACCTCCAGGTGTCCTGGCCCAGGCCACACCCTTTGCTGACATACCTCCGATTACCACCCTGGGATGTCATAATGATGGTATCATAACATATATGGTTGATGCTGAGACTAACCTTGAAAGTATCAGGGATGATTATATGTAGCAAATCTGTACGAGTACAAAGGTTCTGTCTGGCTTTTGATATTCATGTAAATTTGCCTGACACTTCTAGGGTTTAAGCAGTCTAGACAGACTTCATACAGAAATGAATTTCTTGGATCTAATTAAAATCTACAATCAAAACATGTCAAGAACAGACAATGATGGGCTCTTATGTAAGCATAGATATTATGACGGAAATGAGTAATTGACATTGCTTGAGTGGGAAGCCTGATTTCATCAATAATTCACATCATGTATGCATACCAATGGAGGAAATAGCATATACAGCTGGCTACTTATGACTTAGAGAACTGAAACCTTTCATCAACTATTAAGTGGGCCACAGCCCCCCCCTCCTCCAAACCCCAGTTGTTAGTAATCAGAAGTCTCTGGGGATTCCTTATAAGCCAGTGTCGCCAGCCCATAATATCCAGATTATATCCCAAGGAGTGAAGCGTGCATCTGCAGTAGTGATGAAATCTGCTGCTTCCATATTAGTCCCCTCCCCACCTCCACCACATCTGCAACTACGCTTTGAACTTGTATCACCTCCTGCATCGCCACATAATTTGGCCATTTGGTAGGGAAGCCCAAAAGCCAGATTAAGCTTTATGCCAACTTTCCCCCAAGCAACACCTGTCAGTTCCGTTAAATAAAAGGCAAAGATTTGGATTCACTGGGGACGGGGAAGAATGAGAACCACATGGAAACCCTGCAAATTGAAAGTACATCATTTTGTCCAGATTACAGAATAATCTATGTTAAAGCTGAGGACGTAGGAAACCCAGCGTGAAGAGCACCAAAAAGGGAACGTCTTAACTGTGAGAAGTTGGAGGGGACAGACGAGCGACTCCCTTAATGGCATATTTTGAATATGGCTCGTATGATTGTGGTTCCTGGCATGTGTTTGATGAAGGACGAATCGGAGGATCGGGTCGTGTCTGGCTCCAGCCTCCGTCTGTACCGTAAACATCGTACTTCCGGCCGTAGGAAACTGGTCCGTACCCGCCCTCCCCAGAATAGATCGGGACGGGTATATTTGGGTGTCTGTTCGGGTGGGGCTGCAGCATATAGAGGAAGACGGTATATTTGGCAAGGGCGTGTTCCTGCTTTATAAATATCGACTTCAGGGTATTTTTACAATTCTGATCCATTTGATTAACACTTTTGTGATGACTGGAGTCGCTGGCCAATCAGATAGAGCATATAAAGAAAGGGAAGATGACAGGAGGATGATGATGTCCATCTGTCACACCTCACCTCCTCTTATGTAACCTCGTCTGATGTGGGAGTGGCCTCAGAACTGTACACACTGGATTCCTGGCGTTATGTGAATGACATTAATCAAAAGCATCCCAAAATTCTTACACATATTATATTTTTATTGACAACAGAAGTCAATGAACCGATGACACTGCATGACAGTAGTAGTATGTAATAGCCATGTTATTAGTAAGTGACGGAATATTTAATTTAAAAACTTCCAGTCCTCAGCAACACTAAACTGATCAAAAATATAATCTAAGATGATAATATAAAAACAGTACTACATGTAGTTAGTTGCTGCCAATCAATCCACAATAACCCACACATGTACATAGTGCAACCTCCCTTTTTCTAATGCAGCTTTGATGTCATAACTTCGTATAAGGTATCCATAAACTGTTGAGCACACCATAAAGTGCACTTGGTCAACAGTAAGAACACCCATTACACAGTCACAGTACTTACTAATGGCATAATTAACAATCATAAACCTCTATACACTATGAGCAGCCTGTAGATACTGATACTAGAGTAAAGCTACATGTAAGGTGTGTGTCTAGCTCCTCTCCAGAGCATTCATCATAAAGTTACAGAGCTATGATCGTGAGGTCCTTGCTTTAAACAAAGCTGACCTTATAACACTTAGGTGACCATAGGATTGGGCAAACAGACCTGTCTATGACAGACTGATGATGTATGTAGAGCTGTACATGCAAAATGTAAATGTAAAATATGTAGCTAAATTACACTTGGTGCCTTTAATAATATTATATTAAGGCATACAAAAACTTATATTATAACCATGAGTCTTTGTTTGTGCTTCATTTGTTTTTAAAAATTCACAACAACATAAGATTAAGATGCAGGTAGATTTTCAAAACTCTGCATATTGTACTGGAGCAAACACTTCGCAAGGGAGGCCTTAACCTTTCTCCTTAATCTTTCTTTAAACAAAAACAACTTTTCTTGTCTCCATCAGTCAGCTATGCTTTAGTCTTACACATCTCAGTCTGGCTTCCCAAATTGAAGTACGCCTACAGCAAACAATTTATACAGCTTTTCCTTCGTCAGAGCCAAGTCCTGTTTAAACCCGGGATCCCCCTTTAAACCCATTTGCACGTGGGGCGAACCGGAGCTTGGCGTAATCTCAGCGGAGGGTACACCAGAGGTCACTGTTAATTACGTAGCCAGCTTCGCACCCAACTGGAGCGTCGCAGGAGACACCGTTGATCTAATTCACAAGTAAATGCCAGGCACAACCTCCAGTTTACAACAAACCTACAAACCCATCCCGAAGTTTGTCGTGGACGCCACAACAGAGGGTCCGGTCGCCTGACCTTCTGCCCTGGTTGTCTCCCGGTCAATATTTAGATAACTCATCACAGTGAAAGTGGCTTGGGCCAACAGTTCTGGAGAGAAGTTTTGATACTTGTGCCATCAAAATGGAAGAATGCTGCCCTGATTTGAGACTTGTGAGATTTAGCAAGCTAGTAAAGTTTCCCTTCCCATAACATGAGGAACTCAGCAATGCAGCTTGTAATATGGAGCTGACATAATTTATATGTTCCTACCTTGAACTTAAACAGTCAAGCCGAGGAGTTCTTTCCCTCAAATAACGCTGACAACACAGAAAAGTGCTTACTTGGAAAACTTCATGCTTAATATGGTACATCGCATAAAGTGTTACCATTTTCAGCTTGCCATTTTGGCATTTAAACTTTTAATGACTGTAAGATCTTTCAACATGACAAGTACATGATGGGACACTTTGACTTTCTTCGATTTCAAGTAAAATCAGGTCATTAATGTTTGTTTGTTCCTGCTGTGATTTATCGTACACACAGGTGGGCTTTAAAGACGTGGGCATGCCACACTTCACACCTACATGTGCCCACTCTCATTACGACTGCCGTAATCCTGGTGCACTTCGCGCTGGGGTGGGAAGTGAGGAGGGTTCACACAGGTTTGCACTGCAAGTAGAGAGGGGCTAGCTCAGATGACAGGGACAGGACAAAGAACTAAGTTACTGTGGGTCACTACAGGTCAAGTCATGAAATATAGTGTAACTGTTGATGACATGTGTGATCTATACAATGTATATAGTGACTCTGACATTAATGTAAAATGACCAATAATACATGTCAATTTTTGTTGTGAGATAGAAAAAAAAAATTTGTGCTGGACCACTCTTCAGTTTTGGTCATTTCAACATACATGATATACCAAGGTGTTATATACTGTATATATCATTTCTGTGCCGTAGGATTTGGTTGGTGACCCAATGGAGTATACAATACATGTATGTACAGAATCACATCGCCCTTCATATCCTAACTGCTGATAAAATACCCAATTTCTACATATAGCAAAGATCAACAAGGTTAACCAAGAGCACAATCTCTTTACTAGCCTGTACCCAGGCTATCCCTTTACCAGTTAGGCACAAAATAACAGACATGTGATATAGGCATAGTATGCAAATTTGCCTAACTCATGATGTTGCTGCCTTACCTATTGAAGATTAATTATTTTTGTTAACTATCTAGTGAAAGGAAATAATTCAATTAAGTATCCAAGATATTTTATTCCTTAAAAAAAAACAATAGCCCAATACTAGCAATATTCATGTCGTGTACATTCTCATAGTTGCAGTTTGCAATTCAACTGCTAGGAGGTGCTGCTATATAATACAAGTGATCCAGGGGTAGCTCCAGAAAATTCCAACCTTCTCCTAACCTCTTGTTACTACATCATC